CCTCTAGGGGGGTCCGGGGGCATGCTCCCCTGGGAAGATTTTTTTTTAAATATTGAAGTTAAAAGCATCAATCTGGTGCACTTTGAGAGCAACATAAGGAGATCTATGGATACATCTCTCAACACCCATATGAAATAGAACTGTAAGCAGATTTTTCTTTCAAACTCTATTCTTGTTATTTTAACAACTTTTTTGTTACTTTCATATAGTATTTTATACCTGTTCATAATTTAGTCTCTAATGTCTCATTAATAACTATAATGATCATATCAAGGTGTGCCTTAACCTCACACTGACCTGAGTTATTTGAGCCTCTCAGGAGAGAGCTTTCTTCCACCTGATTGTAGAAAAGCTCTTTTAAATTCGTTAGCATAGCTAGCTAACCAGATGCTAATAACAACAGATCGCCACTGTGCTTACAACTAAAGACACAGCCTCGCAAACACTGCGGCATGTGTACGGCTCCTTATGGGTACTGCAATATTTGAAGAGCTGGAGCGGCCGTCCGGTGCTCTCCGTTACTCTTTCAGACGAGACATAACCACGTGAAGACACGTTACGCTCGTGTTGTGTTACAAGGAACCTGTCCTTGGCCAGGAAAAACAGGCACTCGCTTGTTTAATTATTTTGCGATCTAGATTTCTTCTTCTTTTTTGAAGTGAGAAGTTGTCCGTCACAGTCGGATGAACGGACTGACGGACCGCCCCCCCCCACCAAAACGAAAACTCTTTGGTTCTCCACGAATTACCCAAGTCAGTCACCCAAATCAGCGTTAAGAAAGAGGGAGGCGCCGAAAAGCGACTAATTTTTTTAAATAAGTCTTTAAAAATCAGACAATGTGATTTTCTGGATTTCTTTTTTTTTCTCATTTTGTCTCTCATAGTTGAGGTATACCTAGGATGAAAATTACAGGCCTCNCCCCCCCCAAAACGAAAACTCTTCGGCTCTCCACGAATTACCCAAGTCAGTCACCCAAATCAGCGTTAAGCGTCATTTTGTCTCATGGTTGAGGTATACCTAGGATGAAAATTACAGGCCTCATCTTTTTAAGTGGGAGAACTTGCACAATTGGTGGCTGACTAAATACTTTTTTGTCCCACTGTATGTGTGTTGCTGAACTTAGCGTAGAAATGCAGAAAAGTGAAATTATTTGAATCAAATTGATGCAAGTAGTAGTGAATGAATGTGTTAAGAAGAGAAAAGAAAGTAAAAACGCTTTGAAAAGCAGCAGAATATTTTAACTGCAAACCTTTGAACTAAAACCGTACGTCACCAATAATGTATAAAATATGTGGAACATGTTGAAGTCAGTATGAAGTCTCCTTCAGACAGAAAAGATTAGGCTGAGACAGTCTTTGTTTGTCAGTGTTTGTTTCTGTGCTGAGCACCTATTCATAACACCTGTGTGAGAGCCCAGAGATCAAAGGTGTCCATGGTCACGATGTTATCAAACACCTGTGTGCAGAGATCAAAGGTTTCCATGGTGATGTGCAGTGATCTGTGAGAGGAGAGCCTTTCCATTGATCTGAATGAGAAATAAACCTCTTACATTTGAACGTTTTGTTGAAGAACCTTAGCAGCTTTCGGTAAAATGTCAACGCGGGAAGCATGTCAGGACCGTGAGGAGCGTCTGAGTCTGCTTTTTGTGCCCTTCGCGTTTCGGGTCAATAATGTGGCATTTTTGGCCAGTGGCGAGCCGTGACTTTTATACCTAGGAAAGATAAGGTCTGACACTGAACAGTTGTTTTACCCAAAACTGTCAAATTGTCCTAGTTAAGTAAAGTATGTGTTCAAGGGTTTTTAAAAGGGTTGTTAACATCTACTTGATCACATATTGTCATTAATATTGTTGTGCATCTATCTCCAAACTTCACCAGGAACCAAAATTCCTTGGACTTGTATAAACAAACTTATACATTTCAGACAAAAAATTGTTGTTGTTAATTCTATTTTAGTTTTATCAAATGTTGTAAAGGCAGTACTTTTTAGGAAAGACTTGAAATAGGGAGACAGGAGAGGGAATGACACGGGACAAATCCGCTTGGTACCAAGTCCCAGTGCACTTTACCAACTGAGCTTTAGGGCGTCCTACGCTGTTAAATTATACAGGCAGTGCCTCACATTTCTTATGGAAGCTCTGCTCATTATGTTCTGTTCTTGTTGGTGAAATCCAATTTATTGAATGAATCTGGTACGTGAGCAGCAGCTTAAATTGCAGCTTTCATCAGCTTTAAAAAGTAGGGCTTGAAATATTGCCTTGGTCTGATCAAAATCCATCAGTAAAACTCGGTAGGAGCTCGCTCTGGGAGGAAAATCACTTCTGGGGATTGTCAATATCCGCTACAAGTCATTTGGAAGAAATACACATCTAGAACTGCACAAATTCATGTCTATGCATCGGGAAGTAATCTCAAAAGTGCTTGTTGTGTTGTTTCCAAGGTGTCAGTTTTAGAGCATGAAATGTGTAGACAGTTTTCAGATGTGTGCTCTAGTCCACTCGTCATCCAACATTATCTCTTTCAACGCACGTCTCGTAAACATTAATGGAAAGGTTATTTTTGCAATCTGGAAAGTATCCAATAGTTCTAATATCAATTTGTTTCCACATAGCCTCCAGCAAAGAGAACATTTGAGTTCAGCAAAGAGCAAAAGCCTTCCTCCGGCCCTCCCCCGTCAAAGAAATCCAGCCCAGCTGTCTCACCTGAGGGGAAAGCTGCGGCCCCCAAACCCAAGCCGAGCCCCGCCGGCACGCCCAGCTCCAGCACCCCGAAAGGTAACTCTAACAGCGCCGGAATCTTGAATATAGATTATTTCCTCACCTGGGAAGCTTCTTTGACTCCTGCAATTCATCTCTCCAGCGTCCCCGGTGCAAAAGTCTGCTGATAAGAATCGGGAGAGCCACTCTAAACCCGAGCCTAAACCCAAACAACCGAAAGCCAGCGCGCAGCAGGTCCCTTTCAAACGCCTCCTGGAGGGGGTCGTGTTTGTCCTCAGCGGCTTCCAAAACCCCATGAGAGGGGATTTGAGGGAAAAGGCTGTGGACATGGGAGCCAAATACAGACCTGACTGGACCCCCGACTCCACACACCTCATGTAAGTATCCAGCAGAGAGGAAGTGTGTAGAAGACACTGAACGCCTCAGCTGTCCTTACTTTTAATAGTATGGCAAGGCAAGGCAGGTTTGTTTATATAGCCCCTTTCAACACAAGCCAATTCAAAGCGCTTTACAAAAATGAAAGACATTAAGAAACATGTTTATAAAATGGCATTTAAAAACACTAATTTCAAAGCAAAGATAACACAACATGAACAACAAAAGGTACATGAATTAAAGTTAGAGTGCAGTGTGAGATACACACATCTGAAATGTTTAGCTCTGACTCGAGTCATTGCTAGCTTTTTAGCAGAAATAGTTTTCTTTGACCTCACTTTCTTTCTACTTTCTTTTTTAACTTATCTTTTAGTTATGTCAAGTGTTTCATGCTAAACAAACCCCCCTTTTGAAAATGCTGATCTGCAACCCAATATTCCGAAAATCCTACGGATCCTGGTCATATTTGTGTAGCATATACATTTAATTTGCTGCCAGACATTCATGTGGCTTGCTAGTTTTGGACCCCATCTGTAACCCCAATACACGTAGGGGACTTAAGTAATTTATCAATTACAATTGACTTCTTCAGACTTATTGTACAGCCATATATTCAGATATTTAGCATGAAAGTGTTGATGCAGAGAAGCTACATCTGTCACACAGCTGCATATATCTTTTATGATTAGTGCAAGTTTGTTTTTTAGAAAGTTAGATTAAACACCAAATTGACAAACAGTTCAATGTGTCAACACTGTGTTGTTGACTGTCTTTAGAAACACATCAACTAAATCAGATTTTCTCATCTCACCCTGAAGTAATTACTGCAGGGGAAACAATAAAGTCAGTCCTCTGGTGGGAAGGACAGCTCAGAAATACGTCCATAAAAACAAAGGGAAGTTTTAACAGAGCTACGAACCAGCCAAAAGATGCAATATATATATATATAATATAGTGCAGGATGTCGATCACACATTGCATAGCTGTGTTTAAAATGTACATTTGGCAACATGGCTGATCTGTATTGATGTGTCAGTTGAGAGACAAAGTACCGGTAAATATTTTATATTCGTAATTCAAGAGATAAGATGGAGCTTTATTAATCCCCGTGGGGAAATGTAGTAGTTCAAACAGCAACAGGGTAAGGATGAAAAACAGGACCACACAGATTAATAAAATCAAAGATAAAAATACAAATGATGGAGAAACTATGAAGTAAGAAATAATACAAAATAAAAATGAGCATTTATACATATTGGGTCATATAAACTATGAAGTAAGAAATGAATTATAATGATTTATATGAAGGGCAAACCCCTTTTTTAATGAATAATTGTTCCACAGATGTTGAGTTTTTATTATCTGTAGTTGAGTTTTATTATGAAAAACAGACTTCTGGAAGGTGTTAGGCTCCTGTTCAGTTTGTTTTCATCCGGATCTCTGAGGGCAGCCTATTGTCCTTTTCATCGTCTCTCAGGTGATGTAACCATGTGTGTGTGTGTGTGTCCTTTAATCTCCAGCTGTGCCTTCGCTAACACCCCCAAGTACAGCCAGGTGAAATCAGCAGGGGGCATCATCGTGCGGAAGGAATGGGTTTTGGACTGCCATAAGAAAAAACAGAAGATCACCTATAAACAGTAAGAGAGCAAAACCCAAAGAATGATCTTACAGTAAAACTGTTTTGATGATTGCATGTGGAGGGAAAAAAAGGCCTTAGCCACAAGAGCAGCTGCTCAGGACTCATCCACAACATGTGTCCAACGTGTGAATCCTCTTCTGATGAATACTTTCTCTTCAGCCACATCTGTACCCTCAGCCACATCTGTACTCTCTACATCCCACAATCTGCACACAACACTCACACTGATTGAAGCGTCCATAAATACACCTCTCACAGCGGTGATGGCTGCCTGCTGCAGAGAACATTGTAACCTTGAGCAGCTGATGCCTGCTGTGATCACAAATTCAACACAGCCAGCTCCAGCAGCGCTCTAATGATATGATAGGATTATATGCCTCATTACAGGAGGTTCCTCTGCTACCTTTCTGTCATCGCCCCCCTTTAATCTTTACTGAATAATGTGGAGCAGAACTCTCGTCTTGCTCCAAATGAATTAGAATCGCTCTGTGCTTGTGGCGCACTGCATGAAGCTTTGCTTTATTGTTTAGGGGATTCCTTCATAGTAGTTGCTTCTGTAATAATGATGATGATAATGAGGCTGGATGGTTATGAACTTGCTGGTCTCAGGCTAATAATATAAGGTTAGCAGAACTAGTGTTGTGGTAGAAACGGTATAAGCTGTCAAATAATTAGCTCTTAAAAATATATAGTCTTTCTTTCAGCAATTTATATTGTTATCGCAATTTGAAATGTAGAATCAGTTGACAAATTTGACTGCATACCAAGGTGAGACGCATTACTGTGTTCTCAGGGGGCACTGAGTAGCGCTGCTTACATTAGAAAACAATTTAAAAAAGCCATCACTTTTTCCTAGAGGTAACATCACTACATCCCTTATTTCGTCCGGAACAATCCAAAATCCAGACAGATAAAATGTTTTATAAGGTTAGGAGGAATAAAATGAATGTTTGGACTCTTTACAACGTGGAACCTCAACATGTTTGCCTGACTAATGAGCTTTTTAAATAAATAACGTTAAGATGGCTTTTTCCTTTTGACAATAATGAGGTCCTTCCAGCCATTATCTCATTAGAACATTGATTCTATTTGTGATAAGTGTAACGCAGGGTTTAACAGTGTGTTGATGGGCCAGCATGACAATGCAGAATATCTCCAAAGTAAAGGACGGACATGAAGGTTGACTGCTCAAAGGTTTTATGGTAGGAAGAGACAGACATCCTTTAATTCAATAGAGAAATCCTGGTTAGATTTTCAATTTTTGGCTCATATGTTGGCTATGAATCTTGGATGTCAGTCTGGCTTCCAGCAAACATTGCTAAGTATTTGTATGACTCAACAAAGTTAAGTTCAATGGAGGACAAGTCAGTGACAAAAAATACAATGATCACGTCTTCATTATCACTGAGTTACAATGTTGAATATTGAAGTCGGTGTGTTCTGTTTACTTAGACACTGTGCTATTCAGAAAGCAGTTAGTCTTTTAACGCATAAACTGAATGACCTTGTCTCGTTGCATAACCTGCTCATTTTCAGAATGTGGTGCGAGTATCTGGAAGGGGCCTAACGTTGTTGGTGGTAATCACAAATATATATTTTCATTTTGCAGCATGACACATTGAATTTCTTTAATTGAGTAATTGAAAGATGAATCGATAACGAAAAACAATTGTCAGGTTGCAGTCATTGCCGGAACCATCGCTCTCTGTTATTAGTGTGCCTACCTTTCGTGAATGTGAATGTTATTTAATTTGAGTTATTATCCGGTTCCAGCGGGGTAAATGTGAGGATGAGACCGAGTGCACGGCAATCAATTTTGACTTATGTTCATCTTCAAGGCTCCAAATGGAAGCGCTTTTGATGAGATGACTGTGAACAGCAGCAGTGTACAAATGAGCCAGAGAATTGAATAGGAAAATATATATTTGTATATACTGCTCAAGCGCGATGGCATACAAGGCTGTGGTTTTATGAAATCTGATCATTCATTTAAGATTTTCTAAAAGTGCATAGAAGAGAGAAGTTCAGTGCAGCCTGTGTTGTCATTCTGCCTTACGCTCGACTGTCATTCTGTCAAAGATCTCTCACCCTTGCCCTCCCCCGTCTCCCCCCCCCGTCTCCCTGATCTGCTATTGTGCAGCGTGCAGCTTTGATGATGTGTCCTTTATTTAAAAGCTGCATCTGCTATGGGTAATTAAAGGGTCCACTTACTTTGATGATCTCAAGTGCCCAAACAAATACGCACCCTCTCAAACTGTCGCTCCATCATGCACACACTTCTCTCTGAGGGTGGGGGGGGCACGTCCGCTGCTTCAGCTGCTTCAGCTGCTTCAGCTGCTTCAGCTCCTGCCATGCTTACGTCATGTAAAGTGTAGTGTATGTTTAAAAGAGACTAAGTGCCCCAGTGACCAGTGACGGTCCAGAGATGGACAGAAAGAGAGGAGAGCCCTCGAGGAGCATCTCATCACAACGGAGGGTTTGTGGAAGACTGAGATGAATACATTTGGTGGAACATATTCCACCGTTGTAATTATAACCATATTCATCTATCCAATTTGGAAAAAACTAGATCAGATACTAAAAAACAACACCCTAGAACTTGCTAAAGAACTGCAATTACCAAGCATTTATTGAGAGCCTTATTTGTTTTTCTTTTATCTGCTTCCACTGAAAGACAGGAACAGCCTGAACAACATTGTTAAAACCTGCTCTAAGGCCATCGGAGTGAAACGGAGGGATTTAAACTCCTTTTGTAACCAGCAGATTCTGCGCAAAGCAGAAAGCATACTGGCCTCTCCAGGTCACGTTCTTGCAGACGAATTTCATGTGTTGCTATCAGGGCGTAGATATGCTCTACCTACTCTTAAGACAAAATCGCTTTCCAAAATCATTCATCCCTTCTGCACTCAAACTTTTAAATTCTTGATAGGGTTTTTAACTTGATTATTTATTTATGTATTTATTGTGATGCTATGAAACTACTTATCGTGGACATTGGAAGGATCCACATCCAGGCTCCCGGGTGTATCTGTGTGCTTTCTTCCTGTAGGTTCCTGCCTGTGTCTGCTCACAACCAATTGCCCCTTGCGGGATTAATAAAGTTGCTGATTGATTGAATAGAAGCCAACGAAGACCATTGATGTTCTCCACATCCATTTTTATATGAATTATAATACAAGGGAAAACCCTGTAATCTTATACATTTTATGATATGTGCAATTTGTTTAGCATCGTTGAGGGCTGAAGTGGGGGCACCTCGTTACTTGTTTCTAAAATTGTGGAGGAAAATGTAACTTTAAAAAAAAAAGCAGAAGCTTTCATCATGCTTTAATGTTGTACCATCTCTAACAACCTGTGACTCCAGTTCTCTGTAAAAGGAGCAGATCCAGCTTGTTGGTCTGCTTCTTAGGATGACACTTTTATTGCCATAAGCAACTGCTTCTGCCTTACTCCTTACTACTCACCCACGGTGTCATTCCTCTTTTTTCTTTCCTTGGTACTGAGTTCAATAAGAGAAGAAAGCATAGGTCTGTGAAATGTCTCCCTACTGAGTGAGCGGTAATAATTATAGCTTAAAAGTGGTATCACCTCCTTCAGTCTAATACCGTGCAGGTGCCTTCATAGCTGGAGAGAAATATATGGAGAGGGTGAGGAGATGTGTCAGGCCCTCATTGAACCCTCTCACATTTTGAACATTTAGATTTGATTCCACCCCCTCTCTCTTAACCTTTGCAGATATACTCCCTCTTTTGGGTTTTTGTTCTGCTAATGGTTAACATTAAAGGTCCCATGACATGGCCATTTCTACTGATCATAATTCCATTGTTGAGGTCTACTAGAATAGCTTTATATTGTGCAATTTTCCAAAATCACATTGGTTTCTCTGCATCTCTGTATAGTATGTGTATTCACTCTCTGTCCTAAACGGCTTGTTGGAGCTCCTGCCCCCCCCCTCCCTATGAACCCAGTGGCCGTCTGCGAAACACAGCCCGAACACACGCACACACCCGCCGCCTGTCTGGGAGTTTGTGTGTGTGCTCACACTCCGACTCACAGCCTCGCCGCGCCCGCTCTCGGAGGAGAACTCGGCGGAGCTGCAGCCGAGAAAAGATTGAGTGTGTGTGTGTGTGAGGAAGTGTGTGTAACGTAACGGCTCCACGGATTGGTCTATTTGGACCAATGGGTCCATTTGGGTATGGGCACGTCACTGTACCCAGGAAGAAAACAATGGAAAAAGAGAAATCTCCAACGAGGCGTTCTGTGGCAGCACAGACGGGTCTGTTCTGTGTTAGAGTTTTACTCGCTACAGGGTGTACTTTGAGGGTTTGTGACTGCAGACCGTTTACATGCATAAAAAGCTTCATAACACACAAGGGGACGGGTAACAACCGGAAAAGCATGACATGGGACCTTTAAGGTTAGATTGGATGTAGACTGTGTATCTCCATGTAAAGGGGGAGGGATTTGTACTTGCTTACTCAACCTGTTGGGTCGATCATCCCTAAAATAGACACGAAGAGTTCTGGGACAAATCGTGGGTTGAAAGGTTTTCTACTCTTTTCCCCTCTACTGCAGTAGCTCAGACTTTCTTTCCAGCAGACGCTCTTCAAAGCTTTTGGCATCGGTAATGTTTAAAATATCAGGATATTAAACGTCTGGTGAAAAGTATTACCTGGGTTCTGATCCTTTGTTCTACTATTGCGCGACAATGGCCCACTGCCATTTGAAACATAGCAAAGCTGATTGATAGCAGGATATATCGTGCAGGTGTTCTTTTTCCCTCTGGCCTTTAATCATCCTGACACATTTCCTTCTCCCGTTCTTTGTCTTTCTCCAGGTATCTGATGGATGGAGCAGAGTCAAGCTCAGAGAGCGAAATGGAAGTGGATGAACAGAGTGAAGAGGAAGTGAGGACAAAGGTACATTTTGTTTTTTAGTAGGCTAATTATCTAATCACTCAGATACTCAAATCCAGCACGAGACACTTTTTGTTACGCTGCTATGGACAATCTGCAATAAATTCACATTTTATGGACAATCTTGCACCAAAGATATTGAAGTATATATTGATTGCTGTGTTTTTTTTTTATCTTAATGTGTGCATATGTGTAAATGTGTCTGACTGTGTGTATAGAATATACATATCGGTATAATTTTACATTCGGGATTGTTGGAAACGTCATTTCGATCTCTCCGTAAACACAAACTGAGGGTGTTTCTCAATGTCGAGTAAAGCTGCTCCAAAGCCACTATTTCAAGCATACTATGTCATCGAGTGGCGCCGAAGGACTGGCTTAAATGCCCAGCGTACGTGTGCTACCAAGCAAGCGTCCTCGACATTGAGAAACGGCCCGTGGGAGATTGACATTAAAGACATCAATAATACTTTTTCGAGTTTCTAACGGACAGTTTTAAAACGTTGTCCATGTTGTTCTTGCAGACTCCACCAAAGCAGCAGAGACAAGTGACCCCGAAAAAGACGCCAGAGAAGAAGAAAGACGAGGATGAGTATGCTGGCTCAACTGATGTGGATGAACCAGGTTTGAGGCAAAACTACTTTATAAAGTCACACTGTGAAACAATTGAACTGAAGTTTACCCGCGCATTCGTTTAAGATTCAGTCATCATAGCCACTCCACTCATTTCTATACGTACTTCAGAAACTCTTTGGATAAAAAAGAAAGGCCATTCATTGTTCTGGAAAGTGCATGCTAGACGAGAGCTTTAGAAAGACTCATATTGTTTGTCATTTGACTTTAATTGAAGTTAATCAGAAACAGGCACACATACAGTACAGGGTGTATTGATGGGGGAAGAAGTGGGCTGTCAGTCAGTTGAAAAGATAAATAGAGGAAATAAAAGAATGAAAGCCAAGCTCAAGAGGCACTTTGAATACACTGAGAGAAAAGGAACAAACTAAAAAAACCTTAATTAGGAAAAACGAGCATTTCAGCATGTCGTGAAGGCCGTCTTATTTACTTTGGTGCGTCTTTGAACTGAGTTAAAAGTGATGTTGAACCTTGAGGTAAAACCTTGGGTTATGTACCATGTGCTCAGATTAAAGCCAGTCAAAAAAGAATAGCCAAAGGGAGAGTCTGTATAAAGTCTTGTCCTTAAATGACTTGGTAGGTGAGGAAAGAAAAGTGTCTGAGCATTAGTGGATTTCATTTCAAATTAAATGTAGATTTCCTCAGACTTTCCACCCAGAATAAAACAGTCCTGCCATACTCGACAAACTGCGATGAGTTTCTTTTATGTCTGAACAGAGAAGGTTCTTTCACTGATGATTGATCTTCACTAATAGTTGAAGGAATTTCTCTAGGATTTTTGTGCAGAAATACAAATGATCACGTTTGGTGGAGTTGACTTTTCACAACATTCTTTTGGGTCCGGAGTTACAGTACGCATCTTTACAAATATTTAAAGTCCTTATATTTAAGGTTTAAGATGGTGTAGAAGAGGCCCTGTGTAATAACGTTTAGTTTAAATTATAAACAAAAGCCACAGATGTAAAGCAATACAATATGATGATGACAACTTACCATCTGTAGTTAATCAGAAAACAGACTTCTAAGTCTAAAAGTTCGCATGTGAATAGATTGTTTTTAAATTGTTCTTTTTGTTTGCATCTGGAAATTAAGGTTTGAATTGAGAAATTTCTGCTTCCTGAAATCTTTTAAAATGTTAAAATGGTTCAAAAGATATATTTTTCAGACACAAGTCCTGTTTCTCGCTTGAGGCCAGGAAAAGGCTAGTCTCTGTGACCTTTTGACCTGTGCTGGACTATGGTGATCTGATCTATATGAATGCACCTGCCGACCTGATCAAGTTAGATGCCGCCTATCACAGTGCGCTGAGATTTGTTACTAACTGTAAAGTATTAACTCGTCACTGTACCCAGTATGCCAGGGCAGGTTTGCCTTCACTAACGGCCCGTCCACACAGCCGCGTTTCGTTGAAGCTTCAACGCATCTGCCCATTCACTTTGAATGGGGTGACGTCACGCTTCGCCGAACTGCATTGTGGGAGCGAAGCAAAAGTTGAGCAATGTTTTGAACTTTTGAAGCTTCGGCCAATCGAATCATATGCCAGTACAAGCTCTAGCCAATCAAACCGCATGCTCGTGTGTCCGGGGCCGGAGATTCATGTGATTGGTTGTTGGTCGAGTTTCAGCCCCCCCCTCGCCGGCAAGCTTCAACGCACGCTGCTGTGTGGACGGGCCGTAACTGTACGGAGGCTCTGTCACTGGTACATGTTTATCTATAAAGTCATGCTGGGTAAACTACCAACTTATATATGCTCTTTGATCTCACAGAGAGTGGCAAGTAGCTATTGTCTGAGATCTCATGCTGTGGTTTTGTTACATCTGCCAAGTGCTAGGACTTGACTGTCTTTATAGAACTTTTCTGTAGGCTATATTGTATATTATACATATTATTCTTTATTTATGTTATTGCATTCATTTCTTTATCGGCCATTTCCTTGTTAACGGAGTGAAAGGCAAAGGAAGTTGGCTTTGCCTTCATAGGAATAGTGATGACTCTGCAAGAAAGTCAGACCCCTAAAACGTGGTGAATGAGACGGGGTGTGTGTTTGTGGGCAGACCACAGTCTATGTTGTTAATGTGAAACACTGATTTAACGTCTGCACTACCTCAGGGTCACCCACCGAAAATAAACTCCAATGACACGCATAACACGTTTCCAAAAAATTGGAGGAAGCAACAAAGAAAAAGCATAAGCTTGCAATTAAGTCATAAATTACATTCTGTAAATGTGTATATTATATTGCGAAGCTTGAGAGCTACATATGAAGTGGCTTTTACTCATTGGCAGTGATTCATTCTAACCGGGGATGGAGAGATGTTAGATCTGGAGCTGAAGAGGAGTGAGTGAAGTCAGAGGGGCGAGGGGGCAATGTGAGGGGATTAGACAAAAGGCATCACCTTTATGAAGAACAACTGGATGATTCGACTAGGCCACCGTGAAAGGGACATGTAATACCTGTGAAGGGACTTGTGCATGATTCTCATTTCTATGGTAATGCCGTGGCAGAAATAAAGTGTTGCTGTGCATCGATGAGGCAACACAGCAAACACACGCAAGGCGACAGCATTCAATTAGACCTGCTTTTGTTCCCCTCAACAGCACAGGATTGTATGGACAAGTGTTACCAAGGTTACATGATTGAACCTGCTGATATGTGTCTGTCATTGATGGGTGGATTCATATGGCATTTTATCTTTCTGCTATGCATATTGGAAATATACAGTAATGCTGCGTTCACGCCGGACGCGATGCGAATATTCGCTTCGCTCTAAACGCTCGAGTTTCACCGCGGCTGTCAGCTGTGTTTACTCGCATCATTCAAACAAGACGCGCTGGCTAGGGCTACAACTACAACAAAATGAACATATTTGACCGTGATTTAATTGTAATACACGTTTCAAAATGATGCCGAAGTAACAACATACTGATACCGGTTAGTAAAAACCATGAATTAATGCTTTGACAAGTCTGCAGACAGACGGCAGGCGAAAAACCTTTTAAAAATGCGTGTTTTCTGAATGGAGATCGGATCGATCAGGCTAAGCTAACGTTGTATCTGCTCCGTCCACACTCACCAGCGACTGTATTCGCCATGACAAACGCAGTCTGTGGTTTGTTCTTCTTTAACTTCTGTATAGTTTCTGAACAGATATGAGGAGCTGTGTGCTAACTGCTAACAGCTGATGTTTTCTGGTTGAACGACAGTGACGGCAGGCTGAGATCCTCACCGCTGATTGGCTACCGCGAGATGGCGTCGCGCGAATATGACGCTTGAGTTGAAAAAATTAAACTCGAGCGTTTACTTAGTAATTATTGATCTATTATCTAATATATCAGTCCAATAACTTGTATAGACTCGTATTGCACTATTCCACTTTTTTTTTCTCTCACTTTTTTAAAACTATTTTTCTTTTTGTATTACTTTTAATATAGTATATTTTAATATTGTTTTCTTATCTGTATTACATTGTTGGAGAAGCCTGTGACCTAAGATTTTCAATGACATAATTACTTGTAGCTATGTTAGTTTGACAATAAAGAACCTTGAACCTTTTGTCCCCTTCAATCGCCTCAATCGCGCCGCGGAATTCGCGTCCACCGCTTCATGCTCGCCGTCGGAGCGAATTCGCGTTTGTCCGCGTCTTTGCATTGACTTTACATGTAATCGCACCTCCCCCAAACATCGCATCGCGTCATAAGAGCATAGCATGTTGTAAAAAACATGAAAAATGACTCAGAAGATTTCATTTTTGGACATTTGATTCTAATATTTGGTTTAGAGATCAAACTACAGTGGTGGTAATTTAAGAAACAAGGATTTATTGTCAACGCTTGCATATAGACTCTGTAGCGGCCAAAATCATATAGAAATAAAACAGATAATTAACTTAAAATAATACAGCCGCTGAGGCACTAGTTAGCAGATCTTACGCAGGGCAATGATCCAGGTCCAGACAAGATTCTCCATTTGTGCAGTTTATTCCGATAACAAAGTACAACGAACAGGTTTCCTATATCCCTTTTCCTTAAGCCTTTCCTATGGCTTTCCTTTTGCTGGCTTGAAACACCCTGGTAAAAAAACGTTTGCCTACTAGTGCTCTGGCTCCCACCACCCACCTGTCTCCAATATATACAATTACACCAGGTGCTCTAATCACCCAGTGCACAAAACATGCCTTCAAAATAAAAGCATAGAAACTACTTTAACTTGTGAAGCTAACTAAGAATACATATAAATAAATGATAATAATAATAATAAACAGCAAGAAAATAAATGTTAAACTATTAAATAATATAAAGAGATATATATAGCTCCAACAATAAGGCTTATCTTTTGCCTTAACAATGTGAATACACTCGTGCACTTTTAAGTGCCAAACATGTCTTGAGCAAACCTCTTCAGTTGTAGCTTTGTAGCTGGCTTGGTCATGACATCAGCAATCATTAACTCGGTAGGGCAGTACTCCAAAGTTAACTTTCCGTTATTTACAGTTTCCCTAATGAAATNAAAAAAACGTTTGCCTACTAGTGCTCTGGCTCCCACCTCCACCTGTCTCCAATATATACAATTACACCAGGTGCTCTAATCACCCAGTGTCCAAAACATGCCTTCAAAATAAAAGCATAGAAACTACTTTAACTTATGAAACTAACTAAGAATACATATAAATAAATGATAATAATAATAAACAGCAAGAAAATAAATGTTAAACTATTAAATAATATAAAGAGATATATATATATATATATATATATAGCTCCAACAGACTCTTATTTCACTACTTCACTTTTTCTATTACTACTATTTTTCTTTTTCTATTTACTTTTTAATATTTACTATTTACTATATTTTTCTGTTTTTCTGTATAATTGTGTTGCACTGTTGAAGATTTTCATCGACATAACTACTCTGTAGCTATGTTCGTATGACAAATAAAGAACCTTGAACCAATGAACTGATATGATTACCTATAAATATACTCGCTTATTACACACATTTGCAAGGTCTTTTCATGCAGTAAAATAAGCCTTGCATATTGACAGTTTTACCATATTGACAACTACTATTGACAGGAAGTGGAGATGATGAGTCTGCCGTGGACACTGAGGACGAGCTGCAGAGGTAAACAAAACAAATCATGTGAACGATGCTGTGTGTAATGATGTGGGCGAGTTTGTTCTTCCATGTAATTAAATGTTGTCCACAGAATCTCATTGTTTTGCTTTAACAACCTACTGTGCTTGTTAAATAAGCATTGTTTTCTGCATCAACAAAAAAACTAGCTTGTGACCTAAGTGAACGATTGTGTGAAATCAGTCAGATATTTTATTGGCATTTTGTATTATGCTTCTTAATTATGTCAGTGTTGTAGCGGATTCCCAAGGGACCAAATAGATGTTGTTGTTTTCGGCTATTTCTTCCTTTCAAGATAATCTGTAAAAGAGGTTTGACAGAAACACTCACAACTTTAGAGCCACTAATTGCTGAGGGAGTGGTTGAAGGTTTTTCTTGGAACCAGGAACTGAAAGATTATGTTGAGAAGAGAGAGTTGTTGTTTTACTTCATACAACAACTCTTAAACTACCATCTTATATATGGTCTGTGTGGTGTGCGTTCATACTGATATATAGGATGAACTGAATTATCTCTTTTTAAAGATGGTTATACGTAATTCACACTCTATATCGCGTATATACTCTAAAGCAGGGGTGTCCACACTATGGCCCAGGGGCCAAATGCGGCCCGCGGACCATTTTCAATCGGCCCTCACTCAGCAAATAAAAAAAGTATAATGACTTAAGTATTTTAAACTTCTGCTTTGTACTTCTTAAATATATATGTTCAAATATATTACACAGTATTCATGTGTTAATAAGCCCACTTTTAAAATAAATTCAGTCAATTAAAGTTGAAAACATGTTCTATCAAATCTAAGTTGATAAGAAAAAAGCCCAATAACTTATTTTCATAACAACCTTGAAATATACCCTTCATATTTCCTCTTATGATAATCATTCTGAAGCTTCTGTTTTAAGGAATGAGCTGCCAACACAATAAATGAAACTCTCTGGAGAGCTGTGAGCTGTTTCTTTCTTAACGCATTTTCAAGTATCAAGAATGATTTACCTACATTGGATTGATTTTTCCAACTTGTAACTTAAAAGGCAAAATACCTCGAGTCAGCGGCCCAGACCTTCTTATATTTTTTCTGTATGTGGCCCTCTGTGAAAAAAGTTTGAACACCTCTGCTCTAAAGGGACTAAAAGCAGTGTCAAAGAAGGAGCTTTTTTAGAAAAAGACTCATAAGCTCTAAGAAAGTGAGATCTGTTGACCCTGCCAGTGTGACTGCCATTAGCACATGGGCACATTCCCCCCATTTTAGCTTCACCGCACTGGTTTTCCAGACATTTTAGGATTCATTCTAAAAAATGTTTTATTTACTTTTAAATCCCTCAATGGCCTGGCCCCGCCCTACCTCTCTGAGCTGCTACACCCCTACACTCGCCTTCTCAGGTCAGCTGATCACCTGCTCCTTAATGTGCCGAAAACTAAGCTAAAGCTCAAAGGGGACCGTGCTTTTCCCTTTTACGGCCCCTAACACTGTGGAACGCTCTGCCCCTCCACGTTACACAGGCTCCTACGCAGTCAGCGTCTAAAGCCCACCTCTTCTCCTTAGCGTTCTGCGTTTTGTAGATTGTTGCTTTTATTGCTTTTTAAATGGTATATTGTTTTTACTATATGGCTTTTATTCGTATTCTTGTTTATTTTGTGTTCGTACCTTTATTTTTGTTTTGTTTTGCGAGCTGTGCTGTGGGATTCCTTTGTATTTCTCTGAACAGCACTTTGGTCTGGAGGTTTTAAAGTGCTTTATAAATAAAGTTGGATTGGGAGAAGTGCTCTGACACTAAAACAATGTCGAGAAGTTTCTTCCTTTGAGCTGCAGGCAGTAGCACAATTGATACAACAATATAAGGGGTCATGTTCCTGTCCCTGTAATAGGGTGGAGCACGAGAGCAGAAAGAAGAAAGCTTCATCAGACAAGAAGGTGAAGCAGGAGGATCCATACGGGGGGTCCACAGATGAAAACACAGACGCTGAGGCTGAAGAGGATCTCCCCATCCCTGAGCTCCCAGGTGAGGCTCTCTTTGTTCTCGTCTCCTGTCTCTGTCTGTTCCTATCAAAGAAACAAGATGTCCTCCATTACTCTTTGGACATTGCAAACCCTGACAGAAAGTAATTGGATGGCTTTCAGGAAACACCACACACAAACATCAACTGTTTTTCTCAGTTTTTCTTCTGTGCTTTGCTCCGAGTCCTTTCTCACCCTTTATCAAATAGCACCTGTAATTGCTCCACATTCCCATTTTATAGTAGTAAGCCTTAATCTGCCCATTTACTCCAGACTTCCTGAGAGGAAAGCACTTCTTCCTCTATGGTAAATTTCCCAACAACGAGAGGCGCCTTCTGCTGAGATACATTGTTGCCTTCAACGGGTGAGAAACACAATTTAAGAGCACAACACAAGTGCATCACTACTTGAATTGGTCATGGGAATTCACTGAGATGTTCATGATGATCGTATAGAAACATAAAATGATCTTGGCTGCAGGCTGATCGAGGACTACATGACGGAGAAGGTGCAGTTTGTGGTGACCAGTGAAGGGTGGCACGACTCCTTTGAAGACGTGAGTTTCATTTTTCGTTTCCCCCTAAAAAAACATTAGATTTCAACATTTCTGTGAATAAGGACACGAGTCTTAGGAGGTTACGCACACTGTGATCTACGGGCTTTATCTTTATATTTGTTAACCCTTTTGTTCTCTGCTGAAATCTTTGACAACATGGATATATCCTTCAAACACATCATTTAGACTCTTTTATCTGTTTGGCTTTGCGGGTGGGGGTTGGTTTATCGAATGGTCAATTATACAGAGTGCACAGCTCCATCTTTAAAAAGTAGCAAAGGAAGACATATCACAAAGGCAAAAATACTTCTTTGGCATTTGCTTTTAAGCAGCTCCTTCTCTTTTCACAGGGTATAAATAAAAGCATTGCAGCAAATTGGGAACCTGAGTATTTAAGCCTTGCAGTGAAAACGCAACACTGTTGGGAAAGAGTGTCCTTTTTAATCTTTTTGAAAAGGGTATTTGAGAGCCTTGAAAGCATCTGAACAAGCAGAGTTTCAGAGCTTTTTAAAGGGTCATACCGTTTTGTTGTGTGTGCATTATAATGCAACACTGGATGATCTTTCTTTCCCCTCGCTTTCACTCTCTATTTCCTCTCAGGCGCTGATGGAGAACGGCAATCTGAACTTTGTCAAACCCGCATGGATTTACGCAATCAATGAACGACAAAAGATTCTGCCCTATCAGCCCTACTCCGTTGTCCCCTGAGCAATATCCTGTACGTACACACACAGATGAGCAGACACACTTAAGCTCAGTTTCCTGAACAATGGAGCAAAGGTTTTTCTTTCTTCTGATTTGCAGCTTCCCGAGAGACAAGCAATAAACAAACTACAGTTCATTAATGCTTTTACACTTTCTACTGGCCATCATGAAACGGGGTCAACCCTGATGTTCCTTGCTTTCTGCTAAGATGGGAGAAGAATATTTTTAAAATGTGGTGTGTAATGTTAGGATAAGGTTAAGATTCATTGTTAGCTTTTTAGTTCAAGGTTGTTAGTTTTAGCTTGGCCAGAAGGGAAAATCTTCTTCATCAGTGTCGTGTCAAGCGCTCTTTCTTTGTGGGCAAAGCACACACACTCTGATTCCTCTGTTACTGGGATGCAGTTTGTTGCTGCTCACCTCAAGAACCTCAGACTCTCTGGAAATAAATTACCCCGCCGTCCTCACTGCCAGCAGCACTGATAACACTCTGACTTGGGTAAGCGGGGAGACCATTATGAAACCAGCAGTGAAAGTCAGCTGAAGAAAAGTGCCATTTTTCCATTGCTGCAGCTACCACAATGCAGAAATCAGGAAACAGTATTCTACAACAATAAATAAATTCTGGAGTTTGTTTTTCTCCTTTTATTTTATTATAAGCCATGATTTGGAAAGTGATGGATTTCTCTGTGTCAATGCTTGATAATGCTTGAGTTTGTGATTTGGTTTTTGTGTCATGTTCGTGGAATGAATATTAGAAGAAATTGAAACAGACGTCAGTGTTTCGCGTCACTCGAGAGTTCCTTAATGCTTCATAAGACAAGAAGAAGAGTTGTCGAGCTTACCGCCTGCTTTTCCGAAGCAATTTAAGTCTCTTTAACTTGTTTTTGTTCTTATGCTACTTAATTATTTTGTCAAAATAAAAAAATTGGTTTTTAATGGAAGGTATTTCTCTCACAATTATTCATCTAACTGTCTTTGCACTCAGCTGCTCTCGTCCCTTCCTATTCCTCCCTCTCTGTGGCTGCAGCTCGAGAGGCACTTCTCTCTTGAAACGCTTTCTCCTCTCTCTTCAATTTACTTCTCGTCCTGTTTTGTGCCCCGGAGCCACCGGGTCTTCTGCTCTTCAGTCAAGGGGATTAGAAAGCTGGAAAGTAGACGTGAGAAGGGGAGAAGGGGAGGGCTGCGGGGAGAGAGGCTGCCGGAAAGATGGAAATGTTTGGATGCCTTTTTAGAGTAGCCAAGGATCAGACTGTTTTACTTTTCTTCTTGATAATTCACACAGGAGAGAAATGTGGGCTGCCTTGCACCTGGTGCTTCCCATTAAGAGCTAGAGTGCAAGGTCCGATCCATTTAGGACCTGAACACGTACGAATGAAACAAGAGAATTTACAGCAGCTTAGGGCATCATCCTGATACGATGTCATATTTCATTTAAATGCAGTTTGGTTGTAAAGATAGCAGAGAGGGTGGGCTGCTTTCAAATTGTCCCATCGTACCATCTTATTCTTGTCACCTTGATCACTTTCTGTCAGATTTATTCCTTGCTCATTGCATTTTTATGTCTCCTGTGAAATTCAGCAATGACCTTGGATGACTGCTAAGAAAATCGAACATTGTTTGACTTTGTAGATGTAATCCTCATTATCACCGGCACCCTGTTTCAATCTTTCAATTTGTATGTACAGTAGGTAGGTGTATTGCACGGATAGTTATTTTCTGATGTTTTAAAAACAAATAAGATTTCAGTTCTTTAATCTTATATTCTCTATTTCATCTCAGGATCTTCCTACAGTACTGACTCAGTGGTGGTGGGGGGCATTTTTCAAAGAAGTCATTTATATTTTATATTTCTAATTAAGATACTTTTCGTAGCAATCTGTTTTCACTTAAGCTGTCGAAGGTATTTTTCCTTGTGAATAAACTCCACATTAAATCTACTTGAATGTGTTGAGACAATGAAACGGGAACACTTCTGAAAGGGACTGCTAGCACTATGTTTCTGAGCTTTTATCTGATATCTTTCAGCCCAAAGTAAGCCAACACAAGATGTTCTCTTTACTCTGTCACCCAGCATTGTCATGATACTGTATAACACTTTTTATTGAATGGTTATTCACACTGGATTTCAATGTAATTAAGTATTAATGAATAGACTGACTAGATCAAGTTAAAGGTTAAAATTCGCCCCTGCAGACAGATGCTCCTGCAAATTCAAATGAAGCAGACCTGATGGCACCAAGTTGCCCTATTATGCTCATTTTCAGGTCTCATAACTGTATGCCTCTATTGTGAAATGTTATCATGCTTTAATCTTCAAAATGGTCTTGATTTGTTGTGCTGCAGCACCTCTTTTCACCCTCTGTCTGAAACCAGACCCCAGTCTGCTCTGATTGGTTAGCTAGCCGGCTCTGTTGTGATTGGTCAACCGTAAGAGATGTCCCGCCCCTAAGCTAATCACATACAATTTGTTGCAGCGCTAGCATAGAGAACCGCAGTGACGCGTCGTAAAACCCGGAAGTAAACTTCTTCCGGTTCCTTCGCGAAAAACCAATGCAAATTCTCCATAGGATTTTGGAAAATAGCTCGAAATAAGGTATGTGGTTGACACACATTTAAGAGAGGGATCACGTTTTGTTCAGCCGGATAATCTCCACATGTCAACCCTACTTTTATAATTTTTGAATCATAAATCTAGTCGCCAAAAGCGAAATGCTAACGTTATGCTATAAACGAACTACAAGCCAGTACAGCAGCAGGGTCGCACGACTTCAACGTCACGCCAATTTAAGATCGTTTCAACTGACTTGCACTGAAACTGCACTTTGAACACTTTAAATATATTAACATTTTAAACTGTATACCCCGGTTATCTAGGCCCTTTTTGTTTTATGTATACATGTCACACTGTGGGAAACGATATTTCGATATTCTGGATGATTAACACATGGTGAATTTTTTGACAATAAAGCTGAATTTGACTTTCGGCGGCGAGCTGCTTTGCATAATTTTAACCAAGCTTTCATTTGTAGGCCACGTGAATTAACTTAGAAGCAAATGGCTTGTGTCAATTACCAGTCGATATCGTTTTCACAAAAGATGACAAGAAGAGTGTAGATTAGAGAGAATCACTACAAGTCAGGACACGTAACAGTTGCAGCTAGATGAAGGTGTGCCTACGGTGTTGTCAGGGCTAGCATGAGGGACAAGGTTTTATAGTGTCGGTGAGTAGTGATAGCAAGAAGTACCGTTAACCTAGAGTATAATTTATTCACCATGAATTCCCACAACAAATCATTGCTATGTGTCACAATGAAATCTTTACTATAGGCAAGGCAAGGCAAGTTCTATTTATATAGACTTTTCAACACAAGTCAATTCAAAGTGCTTTACAAAAAATGAAAGACATTTAAGAAAATGGCATTTAAAATCAGTCATTAAAAGAAAAACTAAATTAAAAAGAAACATTAAAGAAAAAATACCTGGATAAAAGTTACAGTGCAGTTTAAGATATGAATAGTTCAATTAGAAAGCAGCCGACAAAAAGAAAGTCTTCAGCCTGGATTTAAAAGTAGTCAGAGTTGCAGCGGGACCTGCAGGTCGGGTTTTCTGGGAGTTTGCTTCCAGATTATTGGAGCATAATAAACTGAACGGCCTGCTTCTCCAGGTTTAGTTCTGGACTCTGGGGACAGAAGTGACCAGTCCCTTGACGACCTGAGAGACTTGGATCGTTTCAATCATTTAGCAGAGAGGTAGAAAACATATTTTGGGCCTAAACCATTCAGTGCTTTATAAACAGCCAGCAGTATTTTGAAATCTATTTCTTTGACACAAGGGAAAGCCAGTGTGTGTAAAGACTTCAGAACAGGATGGTTGTGATCCACTTTCTTAGTGTTAGTGAGGACCTCGAGCAGCAGCGTCTGAATCACCTGGCAGCTTCTAATAGATTTTTTAGTGAGCCTGTGAGACACCATTGCATTAGTCCAGTCTACTGAAGATAAAAGCATGGACATTATTTTTCCAAATCCTGCTGATGACTTTAGTCTTTTAAATCCATAGATATGTTCTTTAGTGATAGTAAACGTGTTTTTTAGTAACTGTTTTAATGTGACTGTTGAAACCAATAACTAATTTGACCCGCTACAGAGAGCCCCCTCCGGAGATCGTGACTGGCCTGAGGACAGACTCGGGGGCCCAGGGTTTTCAGATTTCTTTGGCT